CATGGGAATAGAGACAGAAGTGGATGCACAGATTCCACTTGCTTTGTGACTGAGAAGGAAGAGGCAGACTGTACAGCTGTGTGAGAGAGTGTGGCTGAAAAGATGGGATGAAGTGGCTATGAAGAGGATGAGTTTGGAAAACGAGTTGCAGGGATTTGAATTCCGACTGTACTAGTCCTAGCTGGGTAACCTGATCAAGCAATACTGCTTAATACTCTATTGGTAGGTAACCCCATCATAATGCCTTGATTACAGGATGGTCCAAATTCCCTGTAGGGGCCAAGGAGTTCTCAGTAACAGCTGAGAACAGGTTAAACATTTCCAAAAGCTTTTAATTAAGTTCTGAGGTTGCCAAGCAACCTGTATTCTTTATGTAAACAGTATGGTCTATAATGTTAGAGGTAATTAGTCACCAACTCCTTGGGGTATATGTAAGGGAGGCATATTGTCTCAGGCCTCTTGCCTGGATTTCTTGTTTCCAAACGTTTAAGTCTGCCTCCAGTATTGGTTTCAGCTTAAGGGCCCTGAGGTCGAAGCTACCTCAGCGATACCTAGATGTCAAGACCCAGAGAAGCAGAGTACAGAGTTGCTCTCTACCGTTCTAGGGCTTTCTCTCTTCATCCTAGTTTACTAGTGAGATACAGGTATCATCCTTCTCTAGGTGACTGGGCCAGGGCCAACTCAGTGACATAGCAGTAATGTACTGCTCAAATGATGCTGGATCCATATGGAAGATCATGGGTTTGGTTCCCCAGTTGAGCTGTACGTAAGTCAGGTGCATGTACCCATGATTCTGGCTGGTTGGGAAGACTGGTGGTGGTGTTGGAGGGGGTCACAGCCTGAGACCATGTTGATGGTGTTTGTGTTTCTCTCTGTCTCATGAAAGAACTAAATTGAAGGAAAAAAAAAAGATGATTGATCCAATGTGTTTCTCTATTTGAGGAGAGAGAGCCTCACTATCCTTCACTGTAGGATTTTGTGCTTGAAGGTCCAGTCAACATACCATGTGCCAGTCTTTCCAAAACTGTGTTCTCTGGGACCCTTGTTCTCTGTTACATTAATATGGATTCTGGTGTAAAGAAGGATTTCCATGGTCAAATACATTTAGAGAAAATTAAGTAAAAAAAGTGAAATTGGTTTCTTGTTTTTATTGTAGTCAAGTATATGTAACATAAAATATACCATTTTAGCCATTTTTTAAAGGCACAGTTCTGCGGAACTACAGATATTTACATTGCTGTGTAATCATTACCACCACCCATACCCAGAAAACTTTCATCTTGAACAAAAACTTTGTACCCATTAAACAATAATACCTTAAACCACCCGTCCCCTCACCGGCACTGCCCACTGTCCCTAGCTCCTGGCAACCGCCATTCTACTGCTTGTTTCTTTGAATTTGACTACTCCAGGTACCTTATATAATATAAATGGAATCCTACAGTATCTGTTCTTTTGTGATCAGCATATTTTATTTTGCGTAATGTCCTCATGGTTCATCCATACCGAAGAGTGTGTGAGAATTTCCTTCTTTTTAAAGGTTAAATAATATCCCATTGTATGCATATGTACCATATTTTGTTTATCTATTAATTGGTGATGGATACTTGGGTTGTTTCTATCTTTTGGCTTGTGTGAATAATGCTTCCAGGAACATGTATGTACAAATATCTGTTTGAGGCCCTACTTTCAATTCTTTTGGGCATATACTCAGAATCAGAATTGCTGGATTATATGATAATTCTACTTTTACGTTTTTAAGGAATTGCCATACTCTTTTCCATAGCGACTGCACTGTTTTTCATTCTATCAGCAATTTATGAAGTTTCACATTTCTCTACGAGCTTCTCAGTATTTCCTATTTATTATTATTATTTAGTTTTGCCATAGAGTGCGTGTGCTTACTAGAGAGAGACAGAAACAAATATATATATAGAGAAAGTAAGAAATCACTTCCATGGGGGAGTGGTCACTCCACAGTCCCTTCTCCGCCATTCTCTTCTCTCAATTTTGGGTATGCACACGCACAGGCCTGGCGTGTTTTTCAAGCTGCCAGGTCTGGGACTTGAACTGCAAAGTCAGCCATATAGGATCTAATGCCTTAGCTTCCACACCACCTGTGGCCCTATAATTACTTTCTTTTTTATAAAATTATTTATTTAATCTTATTTATTATTATTCAATTTGATCAAAGAGAGACACAGAGAGAAGGAGAAAGCAAGTCACCAGGTCTGGGACTTGAACCATGGTCAGCCATATGGGAGTCCAGCACCTTAACCGCCATGCCACCTGCTGGCCCCATCCTATGATTACTTTTAATAATAACCATTACCACTGGGTATGAAATGATATTGCATGGTAGTTTGATTCTCATTTCCCTGGTGATTAATAATGTTGACTCTCTTTTCATGTACATATTGGTCCTTTGTATATCTTCTTCAGAGAAATATCTGTTCAAGTCCTTTGACCATTTATTAATTTGGTTTTTAAAATTGCTGTTGAGTTAGAGGAGATCTTATTATGTTCTGAGTATTAATCCTGTATTAGACATATAATCTGCAAATATGTTCACCCAAGTGCTGGGAGAAATGCTGTTTCCAAAAGATGGATCAGGTTATTGGGTAGGCCAAACAAGAGATGCCCACCATTTTTCTTTACTGAAAACTTTCTCAGGGCTGTTGCTACTGCTTTGTGAATCTATAGCAGTGAGAAATACAGTATGCAACATTTCCCATACCTGTATGTCAAAACCAAAACAACAAAAACTTTTAGGAACATCCATAACACCTTTTTTTTTTTTTTTTAAGGAAATGTCTCATATACTAATAAAGGGAGGTAGGTTCTTATACAAACTCCCTGGGAGATTCTGACAGAGTAAGTCTTCTAACTACGTTCTGATGGAGCACTGGTCTATAACTTGGTAGGAAGTTTTGACAAGTCTTCTGGGTAGGAGCAGCTCTGTCTTTCAAAATATAGTAGTTGGTTTCCCAGTTTCCAAAAATGGACAGTGTACTTCTAAAACAGCAACAGCATACAGCTGACAGGGTTTAGTTTTCATATTCTGAGACATTGAATTCGCCATGACTACCCCCTTGGAGATGTGTTTTGGAAGTCTCTGCAAACACAGAGGAGAGAGTCTGGCTACTGGGGCCTGGCAGGGATTGGTATGACTTTGGCCAGATGCCTGGTTTGCTAACTCTAGAATGTCTGACAGGCTGCAGGCTTGGAGTGATTGGGGAGGACAGATATGAGGGCTGGGCTGGGGCTTGTGTTCCAAGGGCACAGTTGGGAATCCATCACTGATTTGGGGATCTTTTGTGACTTTCAAAATCAGTACCTTTTTATTTTCTGTTGCCAGCAACACCCCTTCCTGCTTATTCGAATTGCAGATAGGTATTGGTATTTTATAAATTCTGGTGTGTGAGGAATGAATGGCCACCTACCAGATTTTGGGATGGCATAATCAGGGCTTTGGGGCTGGGAGCCTGTTAAGAATTTTATTCTTTTTTTTAATGCCAGAGGGCGTGTGAGCATAATAGAGAAAAGAGGGAGAGGAAGAGAAGGAGAGAGATAAAGAGAAAGAGAGAGAGAGAATTTCTCAGAGGACCTGGTCATGTCACGATTGTTTCCCTCCAGTTATCCTGGTCACACACATGAGCGCCTGGCATGTTTTCAAGCTGCTGGAGCCAGAACTTGAGCCCTGGTCAGCCATGTGGGATCTAGCTTCTTCTAAGAGCTACAGAGCTGGTCCCTCTTTAAGATTTGAAGGCAGTGGGAACCAGCAGTTAGCATAATGGCTATGTCGCTGGATTCCCACGTAGTCGACCGCGGTTCGCGTCCCGGACCCGGTGGCTTAAAACTCACGCCGGGCGCGTGTGCGTGCGTGCCCAAGATCCCGAGAGGAGAATGGAGGAGAAGG